GGGTTTATTCTTTTTAACATAATCATAAAATTTAATGATTACTTCAAATAAATTATTTCCATACCATTCTTTTAAACAGAAGTTAATTGAAAAAAAAAACCCATTAAGTCCCGTTGTTTTTGTCAATGTTTCGTTCGTTAGTAGGTTTTTTTTAGTAGTGTCCGTACTTTTAAGGGATACTCATAAGTTAGGTTGGGTCGAGTTAAGATATTTTTTTTAGATCAAATCCAATGGTTCGAATTATAAATTTTTTCAATCCAAACCACTCTGATTAAACAATGAATTCAACTCACAACCAAACTGAATTTATGAAATTTTCATTTATTTGAACTCAATTCAACCCAAATAAATTCATAATCCAACTCAAATCATACGAATTGAATTAGATTAGTCGAGTTTTTGGGATCATATCTCTGATTCCGTTGTTTAACAATGTAATTAAAAAATCCCATTGGGAGGAAATTTACATTAGGAAAAAGAAAACAAAGGTTTGGAAATATGTGGCATCCAATGGCGGAAAAGGGGCAATTTTTGAGGAGTTTGGTGGGTTGAAAAGTATCGAAGTCCAATATGTACAAACAGGGAAACAGCTTGGGTGCTCTCTCCTTTTAACGTCACCCCATAAGTCTAAAACTTGTAAGGAATCACGATCCCAATAATGATATAATATTGTCAATTTTGAACTCGAACAAAGTATACTATAGAGCATTCTTTAAGATTTATGGAGCCTCCAAACAGACTCCCCTTAATCGAGGCTCGACTCTTTTTTTGTAGTCCTCGGACAAAGTACACTCTTTTGTTCGACACTTGAGGATTCTATTGACATGACTCTAATACCATTTTAGGAATCACAAATCTACACAATTGTATGGTATTGTCAACGTTGAGCATAAACTTCTGTGAGTTTGCTTTTAACTTCTCCAAAAGGTCTTATACTCCGTATTATTTACTTATAAACCTATGACCATTCCTTAAAGGAGCTGACGTGGACTCTCTCCCGACAACGCTCAACAAAAACTTTTGGCTATTTAAACCCTTGAATCCCTCTCTTTCACCTCCCCTTCCACCTCCTCTAACCCTCTTTCTTCTTCCCCATTACAGTTCATAGCCACCAAATGCCGACCTTTGATTGCCTTCTTTTTGGTAAGCTCCAGTCGGTATTAAAATCGACTGTGTTTTTCTTCGTTTTTGTCTCCATTTTCATAACAGTAGTTTCTAAACCTGCAGATCTGGATGACACTCTGTATCCTGTAAGCTCTGGCTTAGCAGCTGCTTGTAAAAGCAACATTCATGGTGGGTTTTGTTTTTGTGTTTTTTTGTTTGGTTTTTTTTAACGTTGTTCTTGTCAGAATATTGTTCCTTTCCTTCTGCAGGTTATATGGCCGAGAAGCTTGGGATTGAAAACAGCAAAATCCCAGAGCTGAGTAACCTGCTTTACAAGAATTATGGAACATCAATGGCTGGTCTCCGGGTATGTTTTTTTTTTCTTCTCTCTCTGTCTCTCTTTAAGAACATTCTCAGGAAGAGTTTATTCAAAGTGCTGTTTCTTTTGGTTTTTATATTGTAGGCTATTGGCTATGACTTCGATTATGATGAATATCACAGGTATAGCAACCTCCACTCTCATTTTTTTGCTTCCATCTAAACCCAATGGCTCGCCTTCATTGATCAATCTGGGTCACTAGATTCGGGGCTGAGTATTGGAATGTTACTAAAGTCTCATGTCGATTAGATCATAACACTGTTTTTATGGAAACCCTTTTATCATGGAGGAATCTAAATCAAAATTTTAACGTTTTTAGACTCAATGAATGATGTTATACATACGGAGGATTTGTTGTCCTAATTCTTTTATATTCCTAAATGGACTGTGAGATCCCAAATGGGTTAGAGAGGGAACTAAATATTTTTTTCATAAAGGTGTGAAAACCACTTACTACCAAACTTGTTTTAAAAATCTTGAGGGGAAGGTTAGAAGGAAAAGCACAAAGATGACAATATTTCATAGTAGTTGAGCCTCAAAGGGGGTGGACACCATGTGGTGTGCCAGTGAAGAGGCTGAGCCTCAAAGGGGGGTGGACATCAAGTGGCGTGTTAGTGAGGAGGCTGAGCCTCAAAGGGGGGTGGACACCAGGTGTCGTGCTAGCGAGGAGGCTGGGCCCCAAGGGGGTGGACACCAAGCGGTGTGCCAGTGAGGACGTTGGGCCCCGAGGGGGGTGGACATCGGGCGATGTGTCAACAAGGACGCTGGGCCTCGAAGGAGGGTGGACACCAAGCAGTGTGTCAGCGAAGATAGTGGGCCAAGGTGGATTAGGGGGTCCCACATTGATTGGAGAGGGACCCAAAGTGGGGTGGATTGGAGAGTCCCACATCGATTAGAGAGGGAAACGAGTGCCAATGAGGACGCTAAGCCCCAAAGAGGGGTGGATTGTGAGACCCCGCATTGGTTGGAGAGATAAACGAAGCATTGTTTACAAGGGTATGATAAGGGTGTGGAAACCTCTATCTAGCAAATGCGTTTTAAAAACTAAGGAAAAGCCTAAAAGGAAAAGTAAAAAAAAAAAAAAAAAAGACGATGTTTGCTAGCAGTGAGTCTCACAATTTTGTTCTTCATTTCAAACTCACACCAGTTTTTTTTGGTAAACCCTTCACGAATTTCAAACTATTTATTGAAAAACTTACACCGAGTTTTTCTCTTGTATTTGTATTTGTTCCCATGGAATATTCAAGAAGTGTATGAGACTAAAGCATCCATTATTCCTTAGGACAGGTTTGTTCATGGAAGATTGCCATATGACAACTTAAAACCTGATCCCATTTTGAGAACCCTTCTGCTCAGCCTCCCTTACAGGAAACTTGTAAGTTCTTCACAAGAAAGCACTTCAAATTCTCATCCCTTTTATGTTTTGATCGTTCTCTCAACAACCCATCTCCATTTTTGTATGAAAAAGCAGATCTTTACCAATGCTGACAAAGTTCACACAGCCAAAGTTCTTAACAAACTAGCCTTAGAAGACTGTTTTGAAGGCATTATCTGCTTTGAAACTCTCAATCCCACTAAAAATCGCCCTAGTTTAGATGAAAAACAGAGTTCAAGCACTGAAATCTTTGACATAATTGGCCATTTCTCTCAAACAAGCCCTGTAATGGAGCTGCCAAGCACTCCCATTGTCTGCAAACCATCAAAAGCTGCCATTGAATGGGCTCTCAAGATTGCTAACATCGATCCTCAAAGAACAGTAAGAACATGGCCTTGGAATTAAGTTTTGGTTAAATTGGCTCTAATTTGCTTGCGTTTTTGAGTTGTTTTTGTGCTGTTTTTCAGCTGTTTTTTGAAGATAGTGTCCGCAACCTTCAAGCAGGCAAGCGACTTGGGCTTCAAACTGTGCTGGTGAGTTACTGACGAACTTAAAATCAACCTTTAAGAACAAAGTTGTGATTTCCCACGTTGGTTAGGGAGGAGAACAAAACATTCTTTATAAGGATGTGGAAACCTCTCCCTAGCACACATGTTTTAAAAATCTTGAGGGGAAACTCGAAAGGGACAATATGTGCTAGTGGTGGACTTGAGCCGTTACAAATGGTATTAGAACCTGGGCGCTGTGCCAGCGCGTAGGCTGGCCCTAAAGAGGGGTGGATTGGGGGACCCATAATGATTGGAGAAGGGAACAAGTGTCAGCATCACAAGACGGTGTGCCAGCAAGGACGTTGAACCCGAGGGGGGGGTGGATTGGAGGTCCCACAACGATTAGGGAAGGGGATAGGTGCCAGCGAGGACGTTGGGCCGTAAAGGAGGGTGGATTGTGAGAGCATTGGTTCGAGAGGAGAACAAAGCATTATTTGTAAGGGTGTGGAAACCTCTCGATGCGTGTTAAAAATCTTGAGAGGAAGCATGAATGAGAATTCCCAAAAAGGACCATAGATATTAGCGGTGGGCTTATGCCGTTACAAAAATCATAAGCTTCTCGTGCTAATTTTTGTGTAGGTTGGGACTTCCCAAAGAAGCAAAGGAACAGATTATGCAGTCGAAAGCATTCACAACATAAAGGAAGCAATTCCAGAGCTTTGTGAAGTTGAAATGAAATCAGAACTCAATTACTCAGCCAACAATAATGTAGCTGTGGGTGTGGAGACTTCTGTGACAGCTTAGAAATCAATGCCTTCTTTGGGTTAAATGTTAAATTTGTAATCTATGTCAAAAGTTTAATAAAATTGCTGTTCAGTCCTCAACCCCCGTCTCGCTATCATGATTTTCCGTCTTCGGTAGTGATCTCACTTTCAAAAAAGGGTCTTGACTTATGAACCGAACACGTAGTTCTATAGCTGAACTAGTTACTACCTATGGGACATGGGTTTCATGATTTTATCTTTGGTAGTGATTTCACTTTCGAAAGGGGTCTCGACGTGTGAATTGAACATATAGCTCTATAGTTGAACTAGTCACTGAATACGGGTTTCATGATTTTACGTCCTTGGTATTGATCTCACTTTCGAAAGGGGGTCTTGATGTGAACATGTAGCTCTATAGTTGAACTAATCACTAACTATGAGTTTCATGATTTTTCGTCTTTGGTAGTCATTTGACTTTCGAAAGGGGGTTTCGACGTGAAAATTGAACACGTAACTCTATAGCTGAACTAGTCACTAACTACGAGTTTCCTGATTTTTCGTCTATGGCAATAATCTCACTTTCAAAAGGGGGTCTCGACGTGTAAATTGAACTCATAGCTCTATAGCTTAACTAGTCACTACATGCGGGATTCAGGATTTTCCGTCTTTGACACTGATCTCACTTTTAAGAAGAGCTAAAAAAAAAAAAGTTTTTATTATATATATAATAAAAAAATAATAAATCTAAATTAAAAATGGTTGAGTGTGGTTTATAATATTTTAAATTATTTAAAATTTATGAATTTAGCGAAAATGAAATCAAAATAATATTTAAAAGTTAAAAAATTAAAGATTTTAAAAATTGAAAATAATAAATAAACCAGACGCTGCCTCTATTTTCTGTTGCGCGCGCTGGTTCGGGTAAGGGCCTTTATATGTCATAACCAGAAGCACCCAGATGGAATGAAGCAGTCCATGGCGATGCTAACACGTGTCCCATTAGCCTACTCCATCCCAACCCCGAAGTCTACCCTTTCTCCACCACTGCCCTTTCATCAATGTCATAATCGTTGTTCCCTGCCCAATTCCAATTCAATCTCGTCTCTCTCATTTCAAATCGTTACCTCCTCCATTTCTCCGACCTCCCAGAAGGGTTTCAGAAGGCGCCGCCGCGTCGGTGCTCTTTCGCTGGTTGCAATGGCGGATTCTGGTCCTAGAACTGTCCTCGTCACCGGAGCTGGTGGCAGAACCGGTAACTCTGCTCTTTTATTTGCTTGTTTATTGTTGTTTTGCTTATGTTCGACTGTTGAGGAAATTGTAGGGCAGTTTAAGGCAGAATTAGTAGTGGGGTTTCGATTTTTTCTTCCGGGTATGGAATTTTATCTTCGTGTCTCTGGAACTGGTTGTTCAATGTCTTCCCTGTTGAGGGTTTAGGTTTTATGTTGATTTGGTTTTTGATTTGGAAAATTGGAGCCACTGACTTAACTTTTTTGCACATGGGACATTGAATATTAGCAAGTAGCGTTGAGGATGGTTGGCAGAGGAGTCCCACATCGGCTAGATAATTAAGGAGTGGATCATAGGTTTATAAGTAAGGAATACATCTTCACTGGTACGGGGGAAACCAAAACCAAAATCATGAGAATTTATGCTCAAAGTGGACAATATCATACCACTGTGGAGAGAGTCGTGAATTCTGATGAGGTTTCAAAGACATGCCCTTAACTTAGTCATGTCAAAAGAATCCTCAAATGTCAAATCAAGAAGTTGTGAGTCTCACAGGTGTAGTCAAAAGTGACTAAAGTGTTGAACAAATAGTATATTTTGTTCGAGAGCTCTAGAGAAGGAGTCGATCCTCAATTAAAGGGAGACTGTTTGAGGGCTCCATAGGCCTTATGGGAGACTCTATGGTGTACTTGTTCGCATCCTGATATCCTATGGATTAAGATATTTCTTAGCTGTCAACTTCTTGTAAAATTTATTCGAGCTCTCTATCTGATTGGTTCGCTTGTACACAAATTCTGCAGCTTCGAAATTGGTTTATGGATTTCGGAGCGTGTTTGAAGTGATTTTCTTAGTGCTTAAAAAGGGTTATTAAGCATTTTGTATAAGCGCTTAGATTCCTAATAAGGTTTTGTTGGTCCTGTTTGGCAGGTCAACTAGTTTACAAGAAATTGAAGGAGAGGTCAGATGAGTATGTTGCAAGAGGTTTGGTTAGAACTGAAGAGAGCAAGCAGAGTATCGGTGGAGCAGACGATCTTTTCATTGGTGATATTAGGAATGCAGATACCCTTGGTCCTGCAATTCAAGGCATTGACGCGCTCATTATTCTTACGAGCGCCGTGCCAAAGATGAAGCCAGGGTTTGATCCAACCAAAGGTGGTAGGCCTGAGTTTTACTTTGAAGATGGAGCATATCCTGAACAGGTACCTCAACAGTCTCTTCTTTTCTTTTCTTTTCTTTACTGCAAACCTTATTATGTATTTACGTGAGATCACACGTTGGCTGGAAAGGAGAACGAAGTATTTCTTATAAGAGTGTGAAAATCTCTTTCTAGTAGACGCGTTTTAAAACCTTGAGGAGCCCAAAGAGGGCAATATTTGCTAATGGTAGGCTTGAGCCATTATGAATGGTATAGAGTTAAACAATGGGCAGTGTGCCAACGAGGACGCTGACCCCAAAGTAGGTGGATTGTGAGATCCTACATTGGTTGGAGAGGAGAACGAAACATTCCTTATAAAGGTGTAGAAACCTTTCCCTAGTAGACGCGTTTTAAAACCTTAAGGACCACAAAGAGGAAAATATTTGCTAGCGGTGAGCTCGAGCTTGAACTGTTACAATTTCGCTCTCTGATGGACGTTCGCGTGTAGGTTGATTGGATTGGCCAAAAGAATCAGATAGATACTGGTGAGTGATTGGATCGCTCTTTTTTCTTTTCGTATCGTTTTCATGAGTTTCAAATGATGAAATCATATCATGATTCGAAACAGCCAAGGCTGCAGGAGTTAAGCAAATCGTTTTGGTCGGGTCGATGGGAGGAACAAATATCAACCATCCCTTGAACAGTTTGGGTAATGGAAACATATTGGTTAGTATTATCTTTCCAATTACTTGATCTTCTACTTTTGGAAATCGTGAGAAACAGTATCTAACTCTTTTCATTATACAAAAGGTTTGGAAACGGAAGGCCGAGCAGTATTTGGCTGACTCTGGTGTTCCTTACACCATCATAAGGTACGTCGTTGATCGAGTTGATCGAGTTTCATATTCATTGTCACCACAGAGAGTTCTGTACCTTTGCTCAAAACATAACCACTTGAAATTCTCAGAAAGTGCTGTTTTTGTGTTCCCATCTGGTTGGAAATATTGTCACTAATTAACTTTACTCAGCTTGATCAAACCATTATTAGGATTTTAAGATCTTTCTTTGGTTCAAAATCTTTATATTCCATACTTCCTAGTTTATTTGATTTCGGGTTCTAAATACAAACGTCGAATGTCTGTGTTCCTGTTCGATTTAAGCGTTCGTTCTTTATTAGTTCCTGTCAATGTACCAAATTGGAATAGTGTTTGTCAGGGCTGGAGGTCTGCAGGATAAGGACGGTGGGATACGAGAACTGCTAGTAGGGAAGGATGATGAACTTCTTCAGACGGAGACGAGAACCATTGCCAGGGCTGATGTCGCAGAAGTCTGCCTTCAGGTACTTGCCTACATTGTTTATGCTCATTTGAAATTATCCCAAAGGACGACTATTAAATACTATGAACTAAATAAGTTCAAATTTGTATTTAAAACACTATGATTGGTCATTGCTCACCGTCATCACCCATCATTGCTGAGCATATCAATGGACTACTGTAAGTTGGCCGATGTATGGAGGGTTCGTCGATGGTGGGCAGTGGTCTCAGGGCGTGGAAGGTGATAGTGTGAGGGTATTTTAGTCATTTTGAAGAGATCTCAAGTTAAACATCTAAAAAAATCTATGGAATAGTCTATCATTTTTCATGTTTAACATTTAATCCAAGCTCGAAACTCTGGAACAGGCACTGCAATTTGAGGAGGCCAAATTCAAGGCGCTCGATCTAGCCTCGAAACCTGAGGGGGTAGGCACGCCGACGGCCGATTTTAAGGCCTTGTTCTCTCAAGTGACGACGAGTTTCTGAGTGGGTCATGTTTGTAAGGTCATTCTTTTCTAATGTAGTATTGTTGCCCAGAATTGTTTGGCTGCTAATAAACTCTGAACTGTGAGCTTTGAAGAGGGTTGGAAAAGGCTGTTAGGAGCTTTTACAACTTTCGTGAAGAAACTATATTAGTAATGAAGGAAAATGGGAAATAATCAAAATCAAAGTGGAGATGGAAATTGACGTTCGGAATCGATAACGTAGGTGACACGCGTTAGGCGGGAAGTGGTGTATGTGGCTAGATGGAAGGATGACACGTGTCAAATGTTGGGTGGTGCTGTGTGACTGGGCAATGGGTGAACGCGTGTCAATCATTGGTAGGTGCACATAATAGGAACCGAAATGCAATCAGAATGTCGACCTGACTTAACCCGTCTCGGAAGCTCAGTCTGCGTGTGCCACATGTAGTAACATCGTAAATCACAAAAATTCTTATGCAGTCGAGGTTCTACCGTGGGATTTGGTTTAGTCAACTTGTGGATGCCCCATGGCAAGCCAATAACAAGCATACTCTTCCCTTAGGCGTGTTTGTACACGAGAGTGGACCACCTCTTGTGCGTGTGTGGGCGTATGTAAGCACGTGAGTAACCTCTTTTTGCTCTGATCCACTGTGTGATTATCCTTGTAGAGTGTAGGTAGTGGAAATAGAATAAGACTAGGGTGTGAGCGTGTTAGTTTGACTAGACAATAACTTGGGATGGAACGCCTCCAGTAATTTGAGCGCATTAGAATCGTGAGAGACGATCAAATGGTTTAACCCAAGTGCTCCCAATTGAATCAGACTCAAGGAGTCGGAATTGAGAAACTGGGAGACATGAATCCATGGCAAGGCCGCCAAACCACACGATGACAACCTGGTAAACAAGGTTAGCTGTCTAGATTGATAGCAGCGAGTACAATGTCTATGGAGCTTCTACTTCTCTTTCCACTCTAATACGATACAGTCGAGTGTTAAATTGGTTAGGGACGTGTGACTTGATAATTCGTTTGGATTACCCAACACAATAGACCCGTCTTGTGGTAGGCGTTGATCATGTGGATAATCACTAGAACTCGTAGGTATACAGGTGTATAGGTATTTTTATTAATTTAGCCTTAAAAATACTGGTGCAAACAATTATTTCTTTTAGAAGGTGAAAAAAAATGCTATACTGTCTAAATATGAAATCATCTCGAAACGACATCGTTTGTCTTGAGAAACATAGTAAAATCAACAAAAAGCGGCTACGAAATGCACCAGCATCTGCAGAACATTTGGAGGAGAGTGACATGGCGGTTCTTCCCACCACAAATTGCCACAAACTCCAAAACCAAAACCCGATCTTCTTCGCCGGCGGCTGCCAGAAAAGTCACCGCTCTGCTGCCGCCTTCAGTATTCGATTTAATGGCCAGAAGCTCCGTCGGCCGCTCATCATAAGCGAAACGCGCGCCACATCGAATTCAAGCGCGAACGGAGACCAAGGTACTCGCCTCTTCGTCCTTCTTTCATGTTTTATGTAATCGACGTATAGACTATGATGAATTAGGGCATTTGAATCGTGTTCATAGATGGCGAAGTGGACAATCTGGGGGTTAAAGCTGCATTATCCATGCTCAAATTCTACAAACGTAAGTAGAATCGTGTTATTTCTTCGGCTTACACTTCTAATTCGAAGAATCCACTTAAATTTCGTTCGGGAATTGAAGGGAAGGATAATTTTTTAGTACTGATTCGGAGTGAAATGTGAGCAGGAGAAATCTCGCCGTTATTGCCAAATAGTTGTCGCTATTTACCTACATGTAGTGAGTATTCCATGCAAGCTTACAAGAAATATGGTGTTGCGAAGGGTACTATTTTGACTGCTTGGCGTCTCTGCCGCTGCAATCCCCTTGGTAATGACATTACTCTCATTCAACCTTCGGGAACGGAATTTGTCGATGTTTTTTCTTTGATTTTTGATTCTAGGTCATTGCTTCTTTGTAGGTGGATCTGGGTTTGATCCTCCACGATGGTTTGATGAAGAAAGGTTGCCAGAACCAGAAGATTGACAATTTCAAATACTGCCATAGTAATTGGTATGTCCTGATGCAGACCATGAATGATTTTTCAATTTGCTTTCCTGAGATTACATTCTAGGCAAATAGGTTATGCAAATGCACTGATCTCAAATCCACTCCTTAGGGGTCCAGCGAGCGGCACATGAGTTCTGATATCATTTGTAACAGTCCAAGTCCACCGTTAATAGATATCATCCTCTTTGACCTTTCCCTCAAGGTTTAAAACGCGTATGCTAGAGAGAGATTTCCACACCCTTGTAAGGTTCAAATCCATCCCTTGGTGGCCCAACGTCCTCGCTGGCACACCGCCTATGTCTGGCTCGATACAATTTGTAACAGCCCAAGTCTACCGCTAACAGATATTGTCCTCTTTGAACTTTCCCTCATGGGCTTCTCCTCAAAGTCTTAAAACGCGTATGCTAGGGAGAGTTTTCCACGCCCTTATAAGGAATGTTCCGTTCCCCTCTCCAATCAATGTGGGATCTCAAATATAATATCAGTTAGCCGTGGACTTAGACTGTTACAATAAATTAGGGAGGGTTTTGATGAGGAAAGATGTTGCAGGAACCAGGAATATACAGGGTAGGGTTGTGTTGATTTGAAAATAGTGAAGTTTCCCATTGAAATTGATAACTCCTGGATAAGCACATTTTGCATTAAGTTGGATAAACAAATAGACAATTCAGGTGTCAAAATAGAGCCCTTTTTTCCTAATGACTCTGAATTTAGGTTGGCTAGGTCTAGACCTTCTACAACACTGGATTTATGAAGAAAGCATGTGCAAACATTCCGACCTTAACATGATAGCTTGAGATTGCATGTTCTATATGAGGTCGACTTCCTTAAAGGGTATACGAAATGAAGATATCGTCCCACTCTTTGCTCATCGTCTATTACACTACTAGAAGATATCGTCGCACTCTTTGATTGTGTTTTGTTGATCGTCTATTACACTGCTACTACACTCGATGCAATCTAAAAAACATGGACTCGAATTGCTTAAAGTTTCGAGTTAATTTATGATTCAATATCGTTCTTATGCCTCACTCGGACATGGACTCATATACTTTCATAGACAACCCACAAAACTGAAGCCATGTTCAATCACTGGATCAAAAGTTTAAGCTATTGGGCTAAATCCATATTTTCTTTCCTCTTTTCTGCCGTTTTGAGAGAGTTTTCTGTTCTGTAATTTAATTTAGTTTAGTTTTCTGCCGCTTTTAAGGTTCTTTCACCTCACTGCTCAGATTTTTTGTGCAGGTTGTGTTGGCTAATGTGATTGATCGTTGTGCTGTTGGGGGGATCTTTGGCAGCTAATGACCTGTGCATAGTGGAAGATCTAATGCCCTGAGCATAGTGGAAGTCTAATGCCCTGTGCATAGTGGATTGTTGTAGAAAGTAACCTGCTATACAAATTGAGATTGAATTCTAACCTCTAATCTTTTGATTCTAACCTCTAATCTTTTGATTATGTATATACGCGGTAACCGTCTAAGCCCACCGCTAGTAGATATTGTTCTCATTGAACTTTTCCTTCCAGATTTCCTCTCAAAATTTTAAAATACGAGAAGTTTCAACACTCTTATAAAAAATATTTTGTTCCCTTCTTCAACCAACATGGGATCTCACAATCCACCCTCTTCGAGGCCAGCGTCCTTCTTGACACTTGTTTTCCTCTCCAATTGATATGAGATCTCACAATCCACCTCCTTCAAGGTCCAGTGTCTTCACTGGCACCACTCAGTGTCTGGTTTGATACCATTTGTAATAGTCTAAGCCCACCGCTAGCAGATATTGTCTTTTTAGGCTTTTCTTTTCGGGTTTTCTCTCAAAGTTTTAAAATGTGTATGGTAGGGAGAGGTTTCCACCCTTATAAAGAATTCTTCAATCGAGGTTGGATCTCACACTTTTCCTCTCCCCTTCGAGGCCAGCATCTTTGTTGGCACTCATTCCCCTCTCCAATCGATATAGATCTCACATATGTCTTGACTAGTTGAGTAACACTAAGTTGGTAAAATTCGAAAATGTTAGAATTCATATGTTATTTAGTATTCTTGAGTTGTTCCATACGGATAGACTTCAACACTTACGTGGCTTAGATCTTAGATACATTAGAGATTTACGTTAAAATACAAAGCGTAATGACCATAGTAAAGATTTTTAAATTAAATTAAATATTTAAAATATAAAAACTAAAATTTAAATTAGCATACAAACCATAATATAAATTTTTGTGATTTATATCCAAAAATAAATTTGAAAGTAAAAAAATTGGATCATGAAAAAATTACATGTAATTATACAATTTCTAGTTCGAGGTTTTAATTGATGTGTTTGGAATTATAAATTTAATTAATCAATTTTTGGTCTATGTTTGAAAATACTGAAAAAAATCCGATTAAATAAAAGAAAAATAAAATAGGACGAATTTTTCATTTTTCTGCAGCAATAAACCAAAGTAACCAGTTCTTTCGCTCGGCTTTATCGTCAGATGAGCAAAAATCTCTCTGCGTGTCGGGAACCAAATCGGTGTCTACTCTTCGCCAACGCCAAGCAATGAGATATCCTCGTTCTTCAATTCTGTAAGCTTCGTCGATTCTCTCCTTCTGCAAACGACAATGGCGTTGCGAGCTGCTAATAGTTGCTCGGTTTTCCGCTCCGCTTCGTCCCCGCCTCTCTCTGCCTTCCGAACATGCCTCTTCAATGACAGGAGCTCGAAATTGAAGTATAGGTATCCTGTATTATGGCACAAACAACAACGTTTTAGGAGTGGCGGACAGCGATTCTACTCCTTGTATAGTATAGTCGAAAACGTTGTCGAAGAGCTCGAAGCTCTGCGCAGGCGAAAGAGACCTTCTGCTACCGCTAAGTACGTTTTTGCTTCTCAATTGTAATATTTTGCTTTTAGTTCAGATAATATCCAAAACTATTTTGTGCATTCAGCTTTTGTTATGAAAGTGCATTTTCTATTTCTCTTGATTGAGTTGAGCTGAAATATGTGCTATGCTATGAATTTCATCTTGACTTTGATATTTGGTTAAAAAAAAAAAAACAAACGTAATGAATTTCTCCAAGTAAGGGTATACTGTCTCAAAGGTTGTATGTGTTGGATGATGGAAGTCCCACATTGACTAATTTAGGGTGTGATCATGGGTTTATAAGTGAGGAATACTAACTCCATTGGAATGAGGCCTTTTGGGGAAGCCCAAAGCAAAGCCATGAGAGCTTATGCTCAAAGTGGACAATATCATACCATTGTGGAGAGTCGTGTTCGTCTAACAGTATGATCATCTGGAAGTTGAGTATCTAGTATTTCTTCGTTATTTTCCAATAATGAGCAAAAAGTTTTATGTATTCAGAATGGGATTGGTGGATATGGGCAGTGGAGAGCTTACCGAAGATAAGCTTATGAACCAGACATTGGAAAAGGGACGGTTACTGGAGTTCAAGAAGGACTCGGAGAGGGTGCTACTGGCAGTTGCTCAGAGACCTGATGGGAAAAAAAACTGGATGGTGTTCGATCAGGTTCTAGTAAAAAAAAAAAATAGCGCACCATTTTGTTTGAATTGGCTACTAGGTTGATTAATGGCTTATTATTTTTATAAGTTCAAGGAAAGTTTTCAGTACATAACTCTAATTTTCTCTTGATCCATTTTTTCTTTGACAGAATGGTGTGACATCATCCATTAAGCCACAGCAAGTTACATACATTGTTCCAGGTGTTGAAAATTTTGACCAGACAGAAATTGCAGACTTCATTAAGAGAGCTCAGAATAACTTGGTTTGTTCTTTACTTGGAAATACTAGAGCCTTGTGTCACATTGACTGGTAGTGATTCATTATCTGATTTGAGCCAATAATTATGAGTGCAGGATCCAACGCTGCTGGAGTTCGCTTGGCTTGAGCTTCTTGAACAAAATAAGGCAGTGACTACCGAAGAACTAGCTGAGGTTATGTATTGTCTAGGTATCATTGATCAGTTGATAATTGTTCCATCACTGACTATAGTTCCTTCTACAGATGATATTTGGGAATACAGAACCTCTTGATAGCTATTGTGCGCATCTGTTGTTATCAAGAGATGAGTTATACTTCACTGTTCTGCAGACAAAAGGTTCGCGATCTTTTTATGGTCCAAGACCCACTGATCAAGTACGCATTATGTTTTAGTTCGAAACTTTCTTTCATTTAATGATTATCAAACACAACTACTAGATTCTTAGAGATCCTTATATGGTGGGGCTTTTTGGAATGTCCCTGCTTCAAGAAAATTTGTAAATTAAATAATGATGCTTCAATTTTTTTCTTTAATCTTAATTTTTTCATGGGGGTGGGCAGTTCAACTTGATGCTTCTGAAAGATATAGAATGTTCAACTGCAGACTGTAAAGGATAATAATTTTGTAAAAAGTATAGAGTTTTCTTGAGTTTGCTCTAGGTTTATGTGGTGCCATGACATTGAATAATTAAATATTAACGATTCTAAGGCCATCTCTCTTATTCATTTAAGAGATGCTTTCGATTGATGTATAATACTACTTTCTCTCTCTCTCTATTGTGTGTTGGCAAAACACCTCCAGAGTCCATCTTGACCCTTTTATAGACGTGATATTGTGTCACCAGTTAAAACAGGGGAAGATGTGTTAAGAGGTGATGAAGGCCCTAATCTATTCATACATGGTATATGATCTCAGATATATGAACAGGATCGCGATTAGTTGTTTTTTTAAAAGATAGAAACACTTGTCTTGACAAGAGAAAAAAGTGAACAAAAATGAAAGGAGGCTCATTATCCAATCCTTACCTTCAAGGGATACGGATGTATCCAATTACTCACTAGTAAAATCCAATGAAAAGGAAGAAGTAGAGAATGCTTAAGTAGTGGAAGACAAATGGCTAACTGCAGTTCCTCCCACACATTTCCCACCTTCTCCTCTTATGAATGTTATTACAGATGATAGGATATTCACTTAAGTAGCCTTGTATTGTTTTTTCCCTGCCGAGCTTTCTTCAATTAGCTGGATTTTGTTTTTTCTATCTTATGATCCGTCACATGGCAAATATTTGTGCTAGTGGATTTGTTTATCACGTCATCCATTAGTGCGCAGTGTTTTCCTCACTCTAAAATATTTTCTAATTCCTTTTTTGAAAGCCAGGTTGAAGAACTTCAACGTACTAAGCTTGCAAGGGAAGCCGCTGAAAATGAGCTTCAAAAGTTTGTAGAATTGCTGAAATCTGCTAAGGCGATGCCTTTGAAGGCTAAACCTCCTAAATCTTCCTGGGTAACTGAAGAGAAAACCAGACACAAGATTGAGTCTCTCGAATCTTATGCTATTGATTCTTGCAAGGATGCTGAACAAAGGATAACAGCTGGGATGGTAACTCTTTTCATGTGGTTTACTTGATGAACGAAAACAACATGTTCATCCATTTCCTTAACTGTGTTCGATATTTGTCTCTTCCTTAGATTCTCAAGGCCATGGGACTGGTGAAAACAGCATCATCAGCGGTTAATCTTCTCATAGACATAGGATATTTCCCTTGGCATGTTAATCTTGAACTTCTGAAGTTAAACATTCGGACAGATCATTCAGATGAAATTATAGCAGCAGCTGAATCACTTTTACTGGAGGCATCTGATGCTGATGAGGTAGTGTCAGGTTCCTATCATTGGTTTTTCTTTTTTCTTTTACTTTTTTGGAAGCTCTATGCTTATGTATAGGTCATAATAGTGCGATAACATAAGAGTAAAAAGTTACCTCATGTTCTATGAAGCACGGACATTATTTTAGGCAGAGTATCTGTGTTGGACACGTGTCTGACACGCAGATTATGTGTCCATTATTTATTTATTCTTGGACATGTTGGATACGCCGGCATAAATTTTTAGCAAAAACAAGGCCCAACCAATTATTTTGAGTGCATATTTAAAGCTCCGTCTAATTTAATTTTTAAACAAATAAAAATCATTAAAAAAAAAGATATTAAAAACACAAGAAGTTGAAAGCCTGCTATATTTCTGTTTCTGTTTCTGCAATTCACGAAGAAGCAACATCCACTACACCACCAGCCTTTTTTTGTTCATGGCCACTCACTGCAAATTTCTGTGTGCTTTTTAGTAGAGTACCTTTAGTATTTTTTATGTTAAATTTACATATATCATTAAAAAAAAAATGTATCCTCAACATGTTCGTGTCTGTGGCCCGTGTTTGTATCTGTGCATCTTAGCTTATGTTGATTATTATTTGAGAATCTCCCATGCTTCCCTGCCATTTGCATGAGAGAGCTTCAGAAGCTTGAATTTTACCAACAGTTAATCCCATCCAGGACTTGTAAATCTTCATTTGTATTTATTAATTTATTGCTACTATGTATTTCACATTTTGCAGCTGATCAGATAAAGTTGTCATGTATTATTCTATACCCTTTCTGTTTAGGTT